GCAGGAGCTGTCAGGGCCAGGAGCCAGCCTTGGGGCCCAAGAAAACGGTCCCAACTGCCCCCCGGGGTGGGAGGCTGCTGGCCTTGCTCCACCTCCTCCATCACCTCAAAACTGAAATCAAAGAAATACCCATTACGTTGGTCACCACCCCACCGCCAGCTGAACCAGCTCCGAGGCAGCCCCTTCCCTGAGCCGAGCGGGTTCTGCTAACAGGCATGCAGGCAGCCGCAGCCCAGCGCACCCATAGTCGCCCATGTCCAAGGAGCTCCCCGAGAAAGGCATGGCCACCGTCCTTGGCAGGTGGGCTCATGGAGGCGACACGGTGCCCCTTCCCTTGCAGGATGAGCATCTTGTTGGAAGTAGCAGGAGCCTGGCCTACGCCTGCCTGGCTCGGCCTGTCTGTGAGGTCCCCCAGCAGCACTCCCGGGGGCCGGGCCACGCCTGCTCCAGGCCTCAGCTGAGCCAGCCGGACTCATCAGAAGAGCCCACGGGAAGCGACAGCAGGAAGTCCGTACGCCCCCCCCCACCCCCCCGCAGCCCGTGCCGAGGCCCCTCACCGACTCGTCACACAGGAGCATCAGGATCTTCCTGGTCGTGCTGGCTGAAACCTGCTTGGGCAGGTCCAGGTAAGACTCCAGCTCTTGGTCAGCCTCCTCCGACCCCTCCCCTTCTGCAGACGGGCGGGCAGAGAAGAGCGAGAGGGAAGGAAAAGGGGATCATTCCTTGGCCTGGCCTACGCTGAGAAACTCAAACGTCTTCCCTGGAGAGCATTCACCTTGAAGAAGCCCCTTTAAGGCGCTGGCAAGGCTCTTTAGCTGAAGAAAGCCGATTGTGTGGGGAAGACGGGCCGGAATAAGAGACTGGAGAATTCTACCAGTGGTGGACAGATTATATGGCCCACTTTTGTGAATTCCATCTGCCTGGAAACATCTTACTCAAAATCCAGCCGTGGCCAGGACGTGGGAGCTCCGGACAGTGTGAGCCGGGTCACTCGTATTTCAGAGCTCCATCCAGCAGACTTGCCGCCTGGTTCCTAAACCTCAGCAGCTGGGAAGCAGCCGGCCTAACGGGAAAGCGCTGCCTCACAGGAGGATATCACCACCGGGAACCGGTGGCTGACAGCAAGAGGCAAACATTTTCCTCATTAAAATGGAATACTTTTAAGTGTTTTAGCCTGTATGTTCTTCATCTGAAAATAGGAATAACAGCCATTGTACTATCCAGGCTTTACTAGTTGTTCAAGAGGCAAAAGGAGATCAGATATATGAAGAGCATTTGGCAATGACAACATATGAAATTGCTGGTTGGAACGCACAATGGTACCACCCTACAGCGCCATATCCAACAAAACTGCAGGGGCATTTACCCTCTGATCCAGCACATGCAGGAGGCAACCACTAGATCACTTCGCACATGCCCCGGCCAGGGCTGGGGATCGAGCCTGCAACCGAGGTACATGCCCTTGACTGGAATCGGACCAGGACCCTTCAGTCCACAGGCTGATGCTCTTTCCACTGAGCCAAACCGGGGCAATGTTTTTTTTTATTCTCTCTCTCTCTCTCTCTCTCTCTCTCTCTCTCTCTCTCTCCTTCCCCCTTCCCTTCAGTACTTTCTCTCAAAATCAATGGAAAAAATATCCGTGGGTGAAGATTAACCAAAAAATAAAAATAAATAAAAAAATACCATTCCCTATGAAAAAGAACCAGGTCTCCTTAGAGAAATGGCTGCTTCTAAACTTGGAGCAGGAAGAGTATCATGTGAGCCTGGAACCTCTGGTCATTCTGGAAGCCAGGAAGCTGTCAAAGATGACGGGGATGGAGTGGGGGGGGAGTGGGGGGAGTGGGGGTGGTGTCTAAAGGACCCAGAAGGCAACACGAAGAGACTCCCACTGGCCAAAGATGGGACAATTGGAGCATCAGTAGCAATAATAATTGCATCAACCAAAACATATCAAATTTGTTTAAACCCATGTGTTTACAAAGATGCTTTCTGATATATACAAAACAACACTGGTGACCTTTGGAAGATGCTAGCTCCACAACCCATTCATTCTGCAAAGAGGGAAATAGAGAAAGAACAAGCATCTATCCTGCTTTTCCCGTACAAACTGTATCTCGGAGTCACAGGCAGTTGACGAGGGGAAGAGCCTCTTTTCAGCACTGTCCCAGCTAACAAATGATGACACTGTGACAAAATGCAGAATATCGCCATTTTGCCATCCCTGGTGCCTTTAGCGGATCTTGCGCAATGATCGCTAACATCGCAAAAACAGAGACAGCCTGACCCTGGGGGGGCACAGCAGTGTCCTTGGCCAAAACAAATCAAACCTGCATCGGACATCAGGCTTCTAGGTCCAACTTCCAGTTCCTGACACAGCGGGGAGGGTAGAGCTATGAATTAGAGACGTGCCAGCCATGTCCACCAATTGTCCCCTACAGACCTCTCAGCCATGAGGCCCCTGCCCCCTTCTCTAGACCGCAGTTTCCTTGTTTGGAAAATGAGTGGGTGGACCTGATGCCCTCAGGGGGCCCCTCGGGCCCAGGACTCTGTCCTCCTCACCTGTTTGCATCAGCACTTCCTCTAGTATTTGCGTGGCGGACTTCTGCTGCTGCTGAAATAGAGGCCCCACGTTCTTCAGGAACCAGAAATCAGGTGCCGTCCAGGGAAGGCCCAGGTGCTGGGTGTGGATGATCTTGTCTACATCCAAGGCTCTGCTTATCAGACCCTTCGCCTCCTCTTCATTCATCACCCAAAAGTCCCGAAACTTCTCCTCGTCGATGAGTACAAAATGCCTGTGAAGGAGAGATGACTGAGCATGGTCAGCGGACCCCAGGGCCTGGCTAGGGCCCCTTCCATTAGTAGGAGAGCAAGACCTGAGACAGAATTGGGGTGAATCCTGGGCCTGGCCCGATCTCTTGGGCCACTGACCCTCACCTATGACAGACTGAAAGCCCTCCCAGGAAGTCTCAAGAAACGGGAGGTGACGCGCAAATAGAGGAACAAGGCAGACAGCACAAAGGACTCTGGGGTGCCCTGGCCCAGCTCCCCAAAAAACGCTGCTGATATCAAAGTCTAGTGAAACCATGACCACCACCAACCCAACGCTTACGGCCTCTATTCTAAGACCCAAGTCCCTGAAATACCTCATGGCTTTCTGCAGCTCCTTGAATTGTACCACCAGGCGTTTGTAGTCCGAGGTTAGTGACTGGTTCTCCTCCTGAAACTGCTTTATCTGCTTGGCATACTTGGATCGCAGGTTGTTCAGGACGTCGTGCAGGCTGGTGGAGGAGGGAAAGTCAGTGCTGCTGAGCAGAAGGTGTAATGTCCTCTCACCTACTTCGCTGGTTCCGCAGAACCCAGGACCAGGCATGGACGGGCAGAAAACCCTCCCCCATAGTCCCCAACGCAGCTCCAGCTGTGATCAAGGGGAGGCAGGCAGCAGGGGGTCATGGGAGCGGCCAGAAGTAAACGCATTTAAAACTCGCCCAGACGCCCAAACCCACCGGAGGCCACCTCCTATGCAAGAGTGCGACCGAATCTTCCTCCACACACCGTTTGCCAGCGTCCCTACCTGGCACCAACCTCACTTATTAAAAATCTCAACTTCTGAGCTCCTGAAATAAGGCAGATAGGAAGGAAAAAACTAAAACTGCGCATCACAAGCCTACGATCTATGAGTTCTCCAATATATAAGCCCTCCGTTCTCAAAGAGCTGATGCTGTTAACAGGTCCAATAACTCATTCATTCATTCATCAAACATAAAAGGTCTCTTTCGTGCCAAAGATCTGTTCCAACGCAGAGATGAATAAGAGATATCCATCCAGTCGGAGACAAAGACAAACATTAATAACGGGACGGTGTGAGACATGCTATCGGAGACTCACACCAGTGCCAGGGGAGCCCAGCGGGGAGGCATCTGACTGCCCCTGGCCTGCAGGGGAGGGGAGTGGCCACGGGTTCCAGCACAGTGACTGGGACAACCTGGCCAGTAGCGCTGAGGATGCCGGCCTGCCTGCCGCAGCTCCCGCCTGCCAGCTCACAGGAGCTCTGCGCATGGAAACTTGTCGCATGAAATATGCATGGCAGGCACAGCTTTGAGACCCGGGACCGAGCTTCAGACTTCAAACTCCTGGAGAGGTGTCTTGTGTCAGTGCCCCACTTACACAGGAGCCGAGCGCTCGAAGGCTGACAGAGTTGAAGTTGGAAAATTCTAAAAATAACGATTTCCCTCTGAAGCATTGTTCTGAAATAATCAGAAGGTCCCCAAAACACCAACACCGATCATCTGTATTTTCATCCTCAATAACAAGTGAAAATGAGTTAACTTGGTCCCTGATAAAAATAAAAAAAAGAAGTATCTAATTCATTTTCTTTTTTGAAAATATATTCTTATTGATTTCAGAGAGGAAAGGAGAGGGAGGGATAGAAACATCAAATGATGACAGAGAATCATTGATGGGCTGCCTCCTGCACGCCCCACACTGGGGATGGAGCCCGAAACCCAGGGATGTGTCCTGACTGGGAACTGAACCATGATCTCCTGATTCACAGTCTCCACGCTCAACCACTGAGCCACACCGGCCAGGCTAATTCGTTTTCTTAACTATAGCATTCTAGGAGAACTTCCATATAGAGGTGTCAAAAAAAAGTTTTTTAGTCACCATCCCAAAGTGTTTTTTCAACGTTATTTAGTAAAGGAGTTTCCTTGTGCCATTCTGGTTACAGAAGTCAATGACACAAAGATACACCCCAGGGGTACCCTGACGGTCTGAGCAAGGCAGCAGGAAAGGAGTGGGTGGGAAGGGAGGGCTGCAAGTCAGGTCCCCGGTGCCTGGCCGAAAACTAGGGGTAAAGGGGAGTGAGGAGGGGACTGGAAACCCGGGAGGGTCAGCAAGGCTCATTCTACAAAGCGTACCCTGGAGATGACCAGGACTCTTCCAGGCAAAGTGAGGAGGTGAGGCTGGGATTAGGACTATGAAGTCGGTAGTCGTAACCAAGAAGTGATATTCAAAGCCGCGAGACTGATGTTTAGGGCATTGAAATTAAAAAAAGGGGGGGAGTGGTAGAGGGGGGTAAAATGCTTTCTAGAATAACTTATCAGGCAAGAAAAAGCAGAACCACCCCAGGAAACAAATTAGGAATAAATTGAGAAAGAAGAGCGTATCTTTTAGCGACATGCAAACCAGAGGAGAACATTTCCGAGCTTCGGTGATTATCCAGCAATAACAGGACAAGGCCTGAGGGGAAGCCGTGGGGCTTGGCTAGAGTGGCATCATCGGCACCCTACAGAGGGAAGTTTCTGTACGATGATGGGGTCACAGGTCAAATTATGAATGTTGGAGGAGGGCAGAGGGGCAAAGGGCGAGGAAAGGAACAAGGAAAAAGGAAACAAGAGAAAAAAGACAGTGTGCACCCAGCGGAGCAGCAGGGTCGGTGGGAGGGTTTTCAAGAGAAGGGAATCCGTGTACGTTTGACGTTTGACAGCAGAGGGAAGAGCCAGTGGAGGTGGTGGTGGGGATGGTGCCGCTCACGGTGCTGCCATGTGGATCGGGAACCCATGCTTGGCCTCCGCACTTCCTCCCTCCCACCCTACCAAGCCCCTTCTCCCACTGAGCGAACGTTCAATCAAACATCTACCTTTCTGATCCCTCCCGCTTTGCCCTGGGACCTGTCACATCCCCGCATTCCCAGCTCACTTTTTGCTGTAAACTCTTTCCTAGGAGGAGGTGGGGGAACCAGTTGAATGTATTATCTTTTCTAAAAATAAAAATCTCTTCTAACAAAGTCAGCTCTATTTTTTACAGTTTACACTCCTGCGAAAGGGCAGTGTTCGAGCCCACCCTCTTTGCAGCACGGAGGACCCAGGAGAAGGGGGCCGAGCCCGCTCACCGGTTCATCTTCCTCTTCTGCTGGGACTTAATCATCGTGCTCTCCTCGTCTCTCTTCTTCAGGACCTGGAAGTTGTACTCTAGCTTCTCTTGGTTTAGCTGGTAAGTTGCTTTCATTTGCTGAAGCTGTTGCTCGAGAATCTAAAGTTAAAGTTTTTTAAAAAAATAATACTCATTGGCCCTGGTATAATTTGTTACACCTGAGGATCCCTGATGGCGCATTCTGGAGTCAGACCAGAGGACCCTTAAGGGCACATGTCCCACCTGAACCCTTAGAAAATCTATCAGGAGAGGCAAGTTGAAGACCAACCAGAAAAAAAATACATAAATCATGCAACTACCAGCTATCCCTCTGGCGCATTAGAGATCTGAGTCACCCCCTAAAAATACTGTAAAGGTTAATGTTACCATGGAAACCTGCAGTGTTCCCACTCTGACCTTCCCATTGGCAGGGTTAGTGTTTAGCAGCCCATGTTCATTTTAAGGGAGGTCAGGCACGCCTTCCTTATTTTGGGGGTTTCCGTGAGCTGTATTCATGCATTCGGCAAATATAGGGTGCCCCCCAAAATGTATACACACACTTTGCATAATTATGCCATGTTCATTTTAAGGGAGGACAGGCACGCCTTCCTTATTTTGGGGGTTTCCGTTAGCTGTATTCATGCATTCGGCAAATATAGGGTGTCCCCCAAAATGTATACACACCGTGAGAGGAGTACTTTCAAGGCCAGGGCAGGGACCCCTGAAAAGATGGCATCGGCATGCCTAACTGACACCTGGAGCACGGGGAGGAGTTACTCTGGTAGAGTTACACCTGAGAGGAGAAAGTTCTAGAGCAGGGGTCCTCAAACTATGGTCCGCGGGCCATGTGAGAGGAGTACTTTCGAGGCCAGGGCAGGGACCCCTAAAAAGATGACATTGGCATGCCTAACTGACACCTGGAGAACGGGGAGGAGTTACTCTGGTGGAGTTACACCTGAGAGGAGAAAGTTCTGGAGAGACTGCTTTGGGGAAACCCCGGGCACTTTAAGATTGAGGTCTGAGGCGAGGATGGCCAGAAAGGAGGCTGACTGAGCAGCAGGGCCTGACCAAGCAGGGAACTGAACGCTTCATCCTGAAGGCAGCGGAGGCCCCTGGCGATGTGAAGCAGAAGAGTGGAGTGGCCGGTCCAGGCAGGGTAGAAAGACCATGCTGGCAGCCGGAGGGAGAAAGATGAGAGGGGGCAAGCTGGAGGCAGGGCAGACACAGCCAGGCTTGCTCATGCCCTTCCTGGGTGGAAGGGCAGGAAGCAGGATGCGCCTGACTGTAGCCAGATCTCGATAAGCAGCGACAAGTCACAGTGCCCTTTCAACTGTCTCCCCACCTCCCTCCGCCAGGGAATCCGCAGAGGAAGTGATCCCAGCCGCTATCACTGCCCCCATGAGCCATCTTCAAGGAGGGCCTGCCCCGGAGACGGAGACGAGGCAGAGGAGGACAAAGGTGCTGTGACACTTTGTCAGGGGTGAGTCATTTCCCGGTCCTGTGGGATCCCGTGATCCCCACCTCGTAACTGGAGGGATTAGTCAGCAATGCCCTACTCAGCTCTCCCCGAGATTTTCAACCTCCGCTCAGGGCCCAGGGTTTGAACGGCCCTTCAGAACGGCCCCTCTCTGTTCTTTAACAGGTGGTCAATGAAGAGCCACACTGGTCGCCGGGATGGTAACCAACGTGCCTCTCCATTTCTCTGCTTGCTTAGTCAAATTTTTATTTACTTTCACTAGTCATACGGTTTTCTCGGGAACAACGTTTCCTGGCTTAGAGGCCAGTGTTTGCTCACTATGGAAAATACAGTAAGGAAAAAGAAGACCTAGGAGAAGGGGAGGAAAAACTACCCATAATTCACTTCCCAAAGGCAACTCTGTTAACATAGTGACATGTGTCCTTCCTGTGTCCTTCACATTTTATACCCTATTTTCCTTCCTTCATATTACAACATAAGAATTGTCCATGTTCATCAAGTTCTATTAACATCATTTTAACGGTGCATACTTGTGTATAACAACGTATTCTACATAAAGTATGTGTGGGATATTTATCATATATCATATTTTACCATGTCCCTACAATTGTACATTTATATTGTTTTGATCATTTTAAATATTAACAAAATTCTGGGAACCACTGGATAGAAAACCTTCGGGGTATTTTTTTTTCTTAAACTAGATTCTCAGAAGTGAAATTACTAGGTCAAAGGCTCTCAATACATGGCTTTCCAAAGGGCAATTTACGGCCGACACTCCCACTGGCCGTGTGCACACATGCCCCTTCCCCATGCCCTGTCAGCACTGAGCGTGGCACAGGGCAGGCTATGCGGTTATGAGTGCAGGCCCGGCCCTTGGGCGGGGTGCTGGGGGTGGGGCAGGGAGCTGTCCGGAGCTGCACCCCACTCTTCCCGAGCATGATTCAACTTAATTTGAAAACTTCTGGCTGGAACAACATCCCTAAGGGCCTATGGGAGATGCTGACCGTGCAGCCTCTGTTCAGGTGCCATTACCCTGGCCGGTCCCAGGTTGAGTGCTTCTCAGCCCGGTGCCCCTCTAGGGACAGCCAGGTATCTCCAGGGAAAGGGGCTCGAGGCAGCTCTTCCCGCAGAGCTGCCATAATTAATGCTTCCATGCCCAGATGAAACCCATCCTCCCGCTGCCAGGGCAACCAGCCCTGCACACAGGGGAGGGGACTGGTCTATGAGGTGGCACAGCACAAAGTCCAATAGCAAAGCTCCAGGTTGGAGGGTGACGGCCGGAGAAAGCAGGGACATCCACGGAGAAGGAGGGTCTCCAGAGCCGCTCTGGGTTTGTAAGGACAATGAGTGGTCTTCCCTCTGATGGTGGGGAGCCCTGGGCCCCGGAGCGCCTGGCTGTCTGCTCCGATGATGCCCACGGACCTGTTCCTCGTAGCTTTGCAATAAGCCCTTATCATGTAGACGTCACTTCCCAGACTCCCCCAGACACAGACAGTTTTAATATTATGACACAGTGACGGCGCGAGTTATAAACACAGCTCTGTCCTGTGAACTTTCGTGTAACTTTCCTCTTCAAGGCAGATAATTACACAACCGTAGCTATTTCCTACATCAGACATCTTGGAAGGAAAACAATGTCATTGGTGTCACCCTTTTGGTTAGTTTTGTGAAAACACCACTAGCGTCTCACCCCTCTGAACACAATTTACAAAACTCTGCACTAACGTAACTAGGTCACGTCTTTTCTTTGTGACCTGAAAAACTTAAATCTGTGCTGTTTTCTAGGCAAATGGTAATACTAACCCGTCACGGGACGGCTTTGATTTGCATCGCTTTGCTTGTGCGTGCAGCTGAATATTTGTTAGCGATTTCGTAGCTATTTCCTACATTAGACATCTTGGAAGGAAAACAATGTCATTGGTGTCACCCTTTTGGTTAGTTTTGTGAAAACACCACTAGCGTCTCACCCCTCTGAACACAATTTACAAAACTCTGCACTAACGTAACTAGGTCACGTCTTTTCTTTGTGACCTGAAAGAACTTAAATCTGTGCTGATTTTCTAGGCAAATGGTAATGCTAACCCGTCACGTGACGGCTTCGATTTGCATCGCTTTGCTTGTGCGTGCGGCTGAATATTTGTTAGCGATTTTCTTTCCTCTTGGGGACGGCTTTGATTTGCATCGCTTTGCTTGTGCGTGCAGCTGAATATTTGTTAGCGATTTTCTTTCCTCTTGTGGAACACGTTTGCTCCTGCACGTTGCTAGTTACGTTCTTAGAGGGCTGGCGCCGGGCCCCTCTCCTTACCATCTCCAGGAACCACAGGTCAGCCACTCCTTCACTCAGCTCTGTCCCAAGGCAGCCCGGGGGTGGGGGTTGGGAGTGGGGGGATTCAAGTTCACGACGTCATTTAGGAGTTATTGGCTGTGCTGTCGCTGAACTTACAGAAGTGATCACAGTCTGTGCCTCTCACAGTACAGAGTCTGCAGCCGGCGATGACAGGAATTGCACTGCTCACTGTTTGTTTGCAACACCCATGCTCACCTATTTCAGTACCGCTGACTCTATTGCTAATTATCTCAGGGTTTCGTCTCAGCATACAGCCATTCTTGATTGCCACACACTGAGTAGTTTATGTTTTAAAATAATGATGCATTATGTTAAATGTCTTCACTCATTTTTCAATTATCCAAAGATATTTAGCAAAGTTGTACTTTATGTTGTGATTAATGTTCTGGTATTAAAAGTAACAGCCCCTAAAGTTGAACTAAACCATTTTACAAGTTTAAATGAGCACATAAGGCCCTTAAAACACACACACACACACACACACACACACACACACACACACACACACACACACTAGAGGCCCAATGCACGAAATTCATTCAAGGGGCTCGGCTTTTCTTCTACTTTACCCATCAAACCAAACCCAAGTGTATTGGAGCCTCTCTATGTTTGTAATTTGCACACACTCTGGTTCCATATTTCAGAACTGAAACAGTGCTACGAATTAGTTAGGAAGACCAAATGTGAAGTTGTGCTGCATGACACATCTACTTGGCAAAGATCGATGCTACTTGACTTTAATGTCCAGTGAAGGTGAAGCTAAGAGGCACTATGACTAAGTCCAATTTACTAAAATATCATAGCATTGCAATACGGGAAGTCTCCGGTCTGATTCTATTCTCCCATTAAAGGGATAATGCGGTACAGCGTACTCCTGGTTTCCATTCTAACACAGGAAAGATCCGTTTTGCAGGGAACTGCACACACTTTCCCACTCTGAGTATCGCCATCAGCCTGCCCCCCACATACCCACACTCCGCCATCAGTCCTTCCAGACACGGGGAGCCAGGACTGCCAGGTCTCCCAGGCTCGGTGCCCCTCTGTCCCTCACTTCCTTAATTACACCTCCACACCCCTATAATCTTCCCATGTACCAGAAGGTTTTGGTTTCGGTCAAGCATTTAAAAATTAAGAACACAAGGTCCCACTCCTACAACTCAATAGCAAACAATAAATTACCCAATTAGAAAGTGGCTGAAGGACCTGAACAGACATTTCTCCAAAGACATACAAATGGCCAACAGGTACACGAAAAGTGCTCAATATCACTGATCATCAGGGAAATTAAAAGCAAAACTACAATGAAATGCCTCCTTACACCTGTTAGGATGACTATGATCAAAATAACAAAGAAAAACAAGTGTTGTCAAGGATGTGGAGAGAAGGGAACCCTGCACCCTGTTGGTAAGAATGTAAATGGGTGCGGCCACTATGGAAACAATACGGAGGCTCCTTAAAAAATTAAAAATAGAATTATCTTCTCTTTCTTTTGGTTAATTCTCACTGAAGGATTTTTTTCCCATTGATTTTAGAGAGAGTGGAAGGGAGTAGGGAAGAAGAGAGGGGGTAGGGCGAGAGAGAGAGAGAGAGAGAGAGAGAGAGAGGCATTGATGTGAGAGAGCCATATCAATTGGCTGCCCTTGACTAGAATCAAACCCGTGACCCTTCAGTTTGCAATCTGATGCTCTAACCACTTAGCAACACTGGCCAGGGCTAAATAGAATTATCATTTGGCCCAGCAGTCCCAATTCTGGGTATGCACAGGAACTAAAATCTGGATTTTGAAGAGATATCTGTATTCTGTGTTCATTGCAGCATTATTCACAAGAGCCAAGATGTGAAAATAAACTAAATGTCCAGCAATGGACTAATGGATAAAGAAAACACAGCCTATACATACAATGGAATATTATTCATCCTGGAAAAAGGAAGGAAATTCTGCCATATGCCACAATATGGATGGGCCTGGAGGATGTTGTGCTAAGTGAAATAAACCAGACACAGAAAGATCTGCAAGTGGGATCTAAAATAGTCCAACTCATAAAAGCAGAGAGTAGAACTTGCTACCAGGGCTGCCAGGGGCTGGGGGTGGGGGAAATGGGGAGGCATTGGTCAAAGGATACCAAGTTTTGGTCACACGGGATGAATAAGTTCCGGGGATTTACTGTACAACAGGGGCCTGTGGTTAACAAGTCCATATTGTATACTTAAAACTTTACTAAAGGGTAGATCTTATATTAAGTGCTCTTACCACAAATGAAAAAACACAACAACAACAAAAGAATACGACATTCCATTATTGCTCTGTTTGAGGTCAATGGGGTATAGTTTTGCCACATAAATTATCATATTACCAAGATAACTTTAGAAAGCTTAACAATAGCCATTTTCATCAAAAAGTGTAATGTATGCAGCCCACACGAATAGTACTGCTCTATTACAGGCTCTATTGTTCTTTGTCAGTAACTCTCATTTCCATGACATTAATCTGAGAAAGGCCAAGGAAAATTCTCCAGACTGGTAAAAATATTTGTAGTCTAATGGGGCTTTTTATTTCACTTCTTCACGTAAAATCCTACCAAAGGCTACGTGGAAAAACTGTCATCTAACATGCTTTCCTAGTGGAGACTGAAATGAATACACCGAACTTGAACAGTAAGATGAAATCGTATTGCATCTGCATGCAATTGCAGATGTACTCTTTAAAACTGGTGTTGAAACACAGGATCTAGGCTTGGAAAGAACTTTAGAAACGAGAAAGTCTAAGCTCCTTCCCACTGCAGGGACCCTCCCACTGAAGACAGACGGTCATTCCGCCTTTGAATCCTCTCCGAGATCTGGGACTCTGTTTGGAGGGCTAACCTTTTCTACATCGGATAGTTCTGAGGGTGACTCAGAATCTGCCCTACAGCAACGTCCAACCGCCAGTCAGGGGGCTGTTTGGAATAATGGCAAAGATACAGGCTATCGAGCCAGAGAGAACGGGGTTCGAGTCCCGGGGATACCATTTACCTGATAAGGACCTTGTCTCCGAGCCTCAGTTTTCGGGCATCGAAGATGCTGTTAGTGATTTCTCCCTTTCCTATTAATGTAAGGATTAGAGAAACTGCCTACACGGCCTGGAATATGGAAGACGCTCATTAGATGGCCACTGGCCTAGTTTCGGCCCTGGGACACGGCTAACATTTCCCTCTGCTCCGCTAAAATGCACAGTTCTCTCAATGCTTCCCCGTGGCTCATGCTTTCCAGACCCCTTTAGGCATCTGGCGGTTCTCCCCTAGTTTACTGAAGAGAGCACATCTTCACGTGGATCTTGCACGTGAGTGCCTTCAGAGATGGCCATGCCAAAGAAAGCAGGTCAGCAACAAGCACCTGCTCAATGGGCCACTCGGCAATGTTACTGGCAGACGAGGACGAGGGCTCCCGGGCTCTCCGCCTGCTCTGGCCGAGGCCTGCGTGGTACCTGCACGTCCTGCTCCAGCTTGATCTTAATCATGTTGTACTCCTCGAAGTCCCAGATCCTCTGCTTGCTCAGCTGCTTCTCATAGTCCTCGACCTTCTTGAGGCGGTTCATGAGATACTCCAGCTGAAGGCAGGGGAAGACGGGGGGGAAGTCAGGCCCCGTCCCTGTCCGGGCTCAGTCCGTCAGGGGCCTGACAAGTGTGGCACAGGGCACGTCTGCAAGTGTCAGGACTCCCGAGGGATCTGTTGGCGCTCAGAAGTCCCTGTGCCCAAGGCTTTGAATTGCTCAGTGGGGCCCTTACTCCAGAAATTCCAAGAGGAATGCTCCAGGAGGCAGCTAAGCACACGGGGATGTCAAGTACAGTGGAGGGAGCAGCCAGCAACCTTGTCATAACTCCTGTGTGGTGCCAGGGCAGGGGTGGGCAAACTTTTTGACTCGAGGGCCACAATGGGTTCTTAAACTGGACCGGAGGGCCGGAACCAAAGCATGGATGGAGTGTGTGTGTGAACTAATACATGTTAACACTGCTGCTGGGGGTACGAGACTTATCAGGGCGACCATCTCACAAGGTATATAAATATCTAATCACGGTGTTGTGCACCTGAAACTAATATCATATTGTGTGTCAACTGTAACTGAAAAATAAATGGGGGGGGGTGGGAATCAGTTTAGCACAGACCCTGCAGGCAGATGTTTGTATTTCTTAAAAAAGAGGAAAAGGATCCTGTGAACCTTGGCCAAGTTGTTTCTTTGTGCCTTATATTTCTGAAATAAAGTGATGGCCCTGCACCCTTGACTATGTGTCTTAAAGCACTTTCTTGGGCCACAGAAATATCCCTGGCTGAGAGAGATGCCCGGGAAACAAGGGAGAGAGAAAGTGGCAGGACCGTGGAAACCACAGTGAGCCGCCAAGGGGGCCCCGCGGCCAGGGGTAAGGGCCCCCGGCAGGGCCACACCGATGAACGAAGAGCAGCACCGCCCGCCCGCCGTGGCCACCCTCCCCCCGCTACACCGGGCCAGCTCTCCCACCACAGAGGACATCGCCCAGCCCGCACGGACCACCGTGACACCCCCATCCCTCCCCGCCCCCACCTACCTCTTTGGCGTTGTGAGCCTGCAGCGCCCGCTCCCATTTCTTCTTGTTACTGGACAGGAGCTCCTGCCGCTCCACCTCAAATGCTTTCTACGACCGAGAAGGAAAAGGGCTCTTGCGTCCGCTCGGCGGCGTAGGCAGGTCCCACCGTATCCAAGAGCCCACACCAACCACACACAAACCCAAGGCAGACACGCCGAAGGAGCTGCGTGGAAATTCCTGTTATAAAGCGTGTCCTTCACACTAGTTTAGGGAGGAAACGTGCCAACCGCCCTGTGGCTGAACCAGTCTCCGAGGCAGGGAGCTGGAGGGAGGCCAATGCCCCGGTTGGCAGTCGCAGGGCAAACCCTGGCCTCCGATGCAACCATGCTTGGGTTGGTGCGTGCTGTGGTTGGGGTTCCCGTGAAGCCACGGCAGCCCGGAGCTCACGAGGAGACCTGGGCCGCAGAAATGAGTCTTTAACAATACAAAGAGAGAGGGGCCCCTCCTCCTGGCTCCCTTTCACTTTGGAAAGATCCAAGTCCCCGTTTCAATTTAATGTTTCACTCGAAGTACTGATTCCTGAGTCCTGTTTGGCATTCATTCCCCTCTCCCATCCCTCATCCCTGACTGTCATAAACAAATCAGATCAATAACGGTTATGCAACACTGTGCTCCCTCCTCCACTGCTCTCGCCCTTACCCAGTTTCATATTCTTCCAGAGCCCTTATCACCACCTGTCAAGTTATTTGCTTAGCCATGTGTCTGCTTGCTGTCTAGCTGTCCCCTACAGGGCACAGGTTTCGTCCAGGACCTTGTTCTGTCCATGGCTGTATCCAGCCCCTGGCACCGTGCCTGGCAACAGCAGATGCTTGACGAATATTTGTTAGATGAGTAAATAAGCCCACGAAAGCCCAGGGCAGAGACAGGAAGCGGGGGACCAAGACCCCGGGCCCCTCCTTAGGTGGTGAGGACAGACAGCCCTCCTCCCCGGGCAGAAAGCGGGCCTTGCACCCCGTCACCTCGATGTGGTTGAGCTCCTGGCGGAAGGTCTTCATCACAGTCTTCACTTGCTCCTCCATCCGCTCCAGGAGCACGCAGATGTCTTCCGACTGCTTCTTCAAGTCCTTCACGTACTGGTCATCCTTTATTTTTAACTCCTAGAAAAGACATGTCCAAGGCTGGCCGCAAACGGAGACCCCTCCCCTCAGCATGTGTGACCACTCGGAATCACGGCTGCACAAGGAGAAGGTGGCTTCGGGGGCACTGTGGGGCAGGCGGGGCGGGCTCGGCGCAGGGCCCAGCTCTGAAGGG